GAGTTGATGTAGATTCATTACAATATTTTTAACATTCCAAAACACCACATTCAGATTGCCCCTTGGAGATTGGCGGCGGAAGGATGAGGTAGCCCTTCGGTTGCTTATCCCTCTGGTAAAAAATGCGGGACGACACCAAGGGCAGTACTGGCTTTAGCTGGCCCATTGACTGGAAAAAAGTTACCAGATCTTTCATCCAGAGACCACTTTTGACCCCGTATGTCGATCCTGTTACGTGAGACTCTAACAGGCAGTCCCTTCTGTCTTTCAAATCTCGCCAAAGCTCTCAGTCTGGCATGAAGAGTCTTCTCAGCTTGCGTGCAGTCTCCATGAATAAAGGTTTTTTTGGCTCCTAACACAGCTTTTTTATTCCTCAGAATTACCAGCTTGTCGTTGAAGGAGTGCAGTTTGACTAGAATAAGATTCTTGTCCTTGCCCAAGAGTCTAACTTCTTCTGAGGGGAGCTGATTCACATTAAAACGGCTGCTGAGGAACGAATCAACTTCGGCTTGAGTTGAGGAAGAAGGAGAGGTCCAGCCTCGAATGATAATATTGTTCTTCTTCAACAAACGTTCCTGCTGTTCTATGTTTCACTTGAGATCCTCGAGTTTCTTGTGAACAGAAGCGTCAAATGGCGCAGGTTGAGAAGAACAGGCTGTAACTTTCACTGCTTCAAGCCCCTCCTCTAGAGCCTTAATCCTGTTGCACCATTCCACCGAGACTGAATTCTCTGCCAGACCAGTCTTACACTTTGTGATCTCAGTCTCCAAGGACGCTTTCTTGCTAGCAGTTCTCGCCTAAGACAGTGCCACCTCCTTTTTCAGCTTCACAACACTTTCACTGATGGATTTAATTTCCAATTTTAATTCTGAGTTATTTTTTACTATTTTAACCTTAAGGGCAGTGTCTCTGGATTGGTTGTTCACTTACATCTGCTTGAGAAATGCCATAATATCCATATCATGTTTGTTATGGGAGCTGTCAGACGGGGTAACTGAAACCTCCAGTGTGGGGACCTTGATAAGAGATGATAGATTACTAGCAAGTGAAAAGTTGAAGCCTGAATCACCCGATGCTTGGGAGTTTTCTGAGAGTTGTGACATGTTATTTTCCGTCACAAATAGTAGTTCTTTATTTGACCGTTTCGCGTGTGGGTTTCTAATTTAAAATCACCAGACGGGAAGTCACCAACCGACAGCGAGAGTCACGAGAGAGGTTTCGTATATTTTGTTAATTATTTTGTTTTGTATTTCCTCCTGTGTTGTTTGAATCGAATCTGGCGCCGACATCGTGGGACTGAGGTGGCAACGTCTCCGGGAATCGTCGAGAGACTTCGATACACTTCGAGTTCGTGATGCGAGCCTTATGGGTCTTCGGATTGCCAGAGGTCGCCGGCTCTCGGGCAACCCTAGGGAAAACGTGACGTAGGAGTCCGACTGGTTCAATACGGAAGGGGGAGTGGAGGATTTCACCAAAATCAAAAGAAGGTTGAGTTGGATCGTCCTTTGGGGACAGAATGGTCTGGAGAATGATTTGGAAGGAGAACGTTCGGATTTATTTGATATTTTCTGATAAGTTGTTTTTGAATAAATAACGTTTGAGAAGTCACTGCGCATGCGCTGACGGACTTGGTTCGGCCATGTGAGCGACAGATTCTAGTTGTCTGGAAACTGATTGAAGGAGTGAACGGAACGAGCAGCCAATGAGCGTCGTTGCCGCGTTTTCACGGTCCAGCGTGGCGCCGCTGGGGAAACGAACCTCACTTCCCGTTTGGTGGTCTTCGCCATACATCGTTCGATCGATTTTGGCGTTCGTTTGTTGGCGTTAATTTCGGAGTTTGGGGAGCCTGAAGGCGTTCTGGAGGAAAAAAAACATGTGGAGGAAGCCCCGAGTGGATTCGTCTGGAGGAAGGTCCCGGGGACTCGAATTTGAGGAGTTTTGGAGACGTTTTCCGGAGACACCGAGGTGGACTACTGGGTGAGCGAGATGGCTACAACTCTGTATGACACTTCTGTGTGAATTTATCATGAGTAGGACTCTGCCCAATTTTAGAGTTTCTGAACAGATGTTTTGTGCATCTTAGTCCTGTAGGACTTTTAGAGTTTCGGAATAATTGCCAGAGTCCTAATCACTCTGATCAGTAATTGATTATTTAGTCTCTTTTGTCTCCCTCTCGTGCATATTTGGAATTAATGTGTTTGATCATTCGATTTCGGTTGTCTCGCGACGTTGATTCATGTTGTGAGCGACAATTATTTCATGAATATTTTATTTTTGAAATGATACTTGGAAAATTAGTTAGTGTTGCGTCTGAATGAATTTGTGTTAGACGAACACTCTCGCTGTCGGTTAATACTCAGTGAAGGACATTGAACGTAGGTTTCTTTTGTGTCTCGTGACCTTGCTTCGTTTCGCTGGCCCGTTGTCTTGGGTTTTCGTATTTATTTCGGACAGCCAGCTTTACTTGTCACGTAGACGAATTCTTGGGCTTCAATCGTTCAGTGTTGTTCATTCTACATGATTATTATTGACAATATTTTGATTCTGATTTTCATTTTCTCTTTGACATTATTTGTTTCTGACTTTTTGGGATGGTTAGATCTTTCAATTTAATTATCGGAATCTCTTTTGACTAAATTGACTGAGTATTTTACTTCCTTATTTTGCTATCAGAATTCTTCATTCCGTTGACAATTGTAGATTTAGTAACTATCGAAGACTCATGATCGTTGATCGATCGAAATAACCAAAGGGGGTTTTCAAGAAAATTAATTTGTTTTTTTTATTGTATCAAGTCATCTAAGCCTGATTAAATATTGTGATTTTCCCCCGCAATTTTGAGTTAAATTTATTTATTCGGTCAATACCTAGCCACACTTTAATCTAAGCTTCACCAGTGACCTTCACGCCGTTCTTCGGTCTGGGTTAACGGGAGACCGTTTCGAAGCTTGGGATAATTCTGGAAATTCTGGTTTTGGTTGTTCGTTTCGTTCCAGTGGTCCTTCTGGTAATAACGACCTGGCGCTCGACTTATTTGACGTTTCAGGGTTGTCGTGCGTCGAAGAGCTACGTAGTGGATCGAGGGTTCCGTGAACCTCAGGAAATTACGTCACAGAGTATAGATGCCATTGTAAACGGGCGAGGGGGAATGGTACTAGGGATGCAAGTAGGTTTTTTAATCAGGGGTCCAAACAAAACGTTATCAAATTTAATATCAGATTGGGTTAATTTGCGCTTCCGAGTTGGTGCTGAGCAGGTTTAGTCACTTTAGTCGCTTTCCCCGATTTCTCTGTATCCTTTGGCCTACCTCTCGACTTTTTATTCAGTGGTGAGGGTGTACTGCTATGACACAGCTGTAGTTTATTTTGTTTGACGTGGGTGTCAAGTTTAAGAGGCGACGATGAAAAATCAGTAATCTCAATTATCGGTAGGGCAGGGAGAGGTGCCTGGGAGTTCGGGGGCAATTCCACAGGGGTGTCACAGGTATCACTGCGTGCATTCAAAGCAGGCGATTTATCCGGGCTCAATATGCCAAGCCACCAAACACGACTCACGCCAACGGCCAACCCCACGTCATGTGATGCATACGGGAAACCAAAAAAAGTCAACCAAGGGAGATAACTGGGGTCAGGGATAATAACTCACTGGAGCACAAGCAACTTCAAGAGTCTAATGAGAACAAATATATAACCAAAATTTAGCTAATTAAACAAATAAAAGTGAAAAAAACAGAGTCGAACTGAAGACAACTAGATGCGAAAACGCCACCTAGCGGAACCCCCCACTTTAACGAAAATATTTCCGATCCACTCAAGAATACTCCCTAAATGCATGAAAAGACGAAGATAGTCAGAAATTACTGAAAAATTTGAATTTCAATCAATATCTCCCGTTTGATTTCTATCGGCTTATTTCAAAGATTGTCACAGTTATAATATCGACACTTTAATAACAAGTAAGCGTAAGTTCTATGAGTTCCCCATGTAGATAGACTTGCCTGTTATTAACGTGTCGATATGTATTTTCAATGCTGAATATGTATTTTCCTGGCTGAAGGCGCTCGGGATATGGCCAATTACAAGTTCTTGCAGCAACTTACAACAAATTTCGTGAGCAATCCTCAACCAAATCCAAGATTCGATAAAAATTCGCAAAAATTTGAAAAGATGGTGTTCGTTCCGTGCGGCCGTATGAAAACCCCTTGCCGACTATTGACAAGATGAAGGTTAACCGTTCGTTACTCGCGCGAAACTGCCCGACGTGATTACTCGCATCGCGGCATCGCGCCGTAATGTAAATTTGAGCGCGCCGTTGCCACAATTCATTCGGAGAGTCGACTCGCCGATCTCCCGACAGCCTCGGTAGCCACAAGTATGAAAACGTCATGTAAAATATTTCCATGAGAGGATCAGTCGCGTCGCGGCACAGCGCCGTATTTTTTATTTCCAGCTATCATAGGAGTGAATTTTCTCAAATCAAGGGCTTTGGCGGTGAATAGAAATGGCAGAATATGCTATTAGATCAAATAAATGAGGCTTTTTTCAATGCGTTCATTCGGAAGTTATACTAAAAAATAGAATTTCACCGGTGCGGTGCCGTGGATGGGAGTAACGAAGGGTTAATGCGATTAACCCCTCGTTATTTTTTTTTTTTTT